AGGGAGGAAGATGTTTAGTGAGAAGGAGGGGGAAATGAAGAAAAGAAGTGGCCGTACAGGAGCTTAGTGCTTGGCAGTCTTTCCCCTGAGCCTGGGGTCGTGGTCAGGGGCAGCACATTTTTGTGTCTAAGGGAAGGTGTGGTTTGATGTTGCTCTTTTGGTTACATAATCATGTAGGCAAAAGAGAAAAAAAAATCCAACAAATGGCTTTATCACATGGTAGGGGATCTTTGGTATTTGATCTGGGAATCTCAACAAAGATGTGAACCCACTGGACGCCAATCTTCATTTCTGAATATTTAGAAAACAAATGAGCAGAAGCCAAGTAGGTGAACAAGTTTAAGCTTTCCGACATTGAAAGCTGTTATGAAGCTTTATATTTTCCTTAGAATAAGATGTTTTCAAGTTATTACTTGTGAAACCAGAAGATCAGTTTCTCTGTCCCCTCAGAAATTGAGCACAATAATTTCATTTCATGCTTCATTTGCATTCACAGTACATTGGAGGACAGGACTGCACATGTGCACAATTGTAAATTGACAATTGTATATATGTCTATAAATACTTAAATAATTTCCCATGGATTACATCTGAAACAGAGAGCAGGGGTTTGCTGTGGGCAAAATTGGGAAAGGAACGGATTGGGGCTGGTGGTCAACAGCAGTGTAAACTTAGTTTATAATGCTAGCTTGTTAGAGAAATTTATAATTTCTAGAATTTAAAAAAATGAGTTAAGAATTATAGAAAGATGATCACTAACAAGATTTTCTCACATCAATATTTTTTAGAAATCAAAAATGGTTATTATCCAGTAAAGAAGTAAGTGATTTTCTTTAAGAAAATGTAACTGTAGGCATTTCAAAGTACTGGACTTATATTTTATTGGAAAAAAAAAGCATGGATCATTAGTAGGTTTTCAAATTTCATGATTAATATATGTGCAAATAATTATATTCATTTTGTGTATATTAGGCAATGTACACATGCAATCTATTGAAGGCTACTTTTTAAATGAAAATCTTCATATTCTCTTTTATTAGGTTATCGAAAGGTTGCTTTTCTTTAAAAAAAAAAAAAAAGGAGAGAGAGATTGGGGCTGGAGAGATGGCTCAGTGGTTAAGAGCACTGGCTGCTCTTTCCGAGGACTTTGGTTTGGTTCCCAGCACCCACATGCAGGCTAACAACTCTCCTTAGCTCCAGTTCCAGGGGGGTTGACACCCTCTGCTGGTCTCCGTGGGCATTGCATGACACAGGTGCAGTTCTATACATACAGGCAAAGCACTCACACACATAAAATAAAAATAAATAAATAATTTTAAAAGAAACCAAAATGTGAGAGGAAATTTTGAAAAAAAAATGTTATGGAAAAATTAGAGTTTGCCAGATGCTTGAATGCAAAAGGGGGCTTACTATAAACCAGAATCTTAAAAACTTTCCACCAGTTTTCTATTAAAAATAACTCAGTCTCCCTTTCACTGTTCTACATGTTCATACTTCTTCAAACAGTTGTTCCCTAACCTAGAATAAATTTATGTTTGCAAATGTCATTTACCTCCCAACTACAAACGCTCTTAGGAATGGTAACTATTGCTATCATTCTTAATCGAGTAGCAGTGCTTGAAGCTATCATAAAGGATTAAGGCATGAACGGAATGAGGAATAGGATTCAAGGAACAGTGAAGCTCTCCCAGGACCATCTACCACATTCATAGAAGAATAGAGCAGAAGTATATTTGATTGATGTACCTAGAGCTCAGAAAGCGCCAGTATCTGTTTGGTTTCTGGGGAAGGTCTTCCCGCTGCATCTTAACACAGCGAAGGGCATTGCAATGCGAGCAGAGCCTGGTGCCAGCCTGGGCCTCTCTTTCTGTTTTTACTAAGCCACTTACACCATCATAGGGGCCTTGTCCTCAAGATCTCATTGGATCTTAACTACCTCCAATAACCAACAACAGAGAAATTTGAGGACTAGGTTTCAAATACTTGAATTTTGAGTGACATATTCACACCTTAACACTGCTGGGTCATAATCCTTCTTAGGAAGGAGCTGATTCTTACTCATTTTCCCCCTTTCCATTAGTGCATGTTCAATAAGTACTTTTAAAGTCCTGCACGAACCAGTGACTAGGAGCACTTGTCTCATTATCTCTCTATCTTACAAGGTTTTTGATGGTGAGACAGTGTCTTATAGTCAAAGTTTCACGAATGGTCATAAAAGCTTCAGGGAGTCTGCAGGTACACATACTTATTGAATGAGCAATGAGTTCTGCTTTTCCCAACTAAAACAGAATATCCCCACACTGAGTCCCACGCCTACCCAGGGCCGACGCATGAAAGTTGTAGAGAACTTTGCTCTTACAAACTTGCCAGACCAATTCTTGAGTACATTCACCTGATAAATTCCTTAGTGGGCAGCTGATTCCCCCTGGCTAATAATGGTTCCAATCATGGAAGGAAGTGAGTCAAACAAACGAAATCATACACAAGCACATACACAAGCACATATACAAGTACATATACAGGTACACCTTGGCCAGTCTTTTTTATCTTACACGTTCCCCTCTTTCCCCCTTTTCTTTGCTCTGTGAAACACTTGCTCCTAAAACCAAACATCCATGACAAATTCAAAGCATCTGTCTGTCTGGGGCTTGGCTACTGCTTAACAGGTAGTTGTAAACCATTTTGTGGTGTTAACCAAGATTCCTTAATGGGGACAGCATGAAGAGTCTGCTTAAAGTAGTCAGGGAGACTGTTTAAATACAGATGAAAATGTAAACACTGTCTTCATTGGACATAGTGACTGGAAATTAGCTGCATGATTTTTGTCAGAACCACCTGTAATTTGTCAAAATCTTGACAAGCAGTGCTATCTGCCACAATCAAACAGGAAAAAAAAAAAAAAGAAAAAAGAAAAAAATTCAAGTGCCTAAGTAAGGAAGCAGACATAGAAATCACACATCTTTTGAAATGTAAAAAACTTTGACTTGCTTTTCTAAAATCGGACTTCTTTTGGACAGCCTCAGCTTCTCAGTTTAACTTACAAGACATGCTCTCAGGTTGGAGAGATGGCTCAGTGGTCAAAAGCACTGGCTGCTCTCACAGAGGGCCCACGGTCAGTTCCCAGCACTCACATGGTAGCTAACAACTGTTCATAATTCCAGTTTCAGGGGATCTGATGCCCTTTTCTGATCTCTGTGGGCATTGCATGAATGGGCACACATACATACATGCAAGCCATACATTAATATACATAAAATTTTAAAAAATAAATAATTTTTTTAAAAAAGACATGCTCTTTCTTCATTCGAGAAAACTTGACAAAGGACTAAGGAGATGGCACAGTAGGTAAAGTGCTTTCTGTGGAAGCACGATGACCTGCATTTGGATCCCCAGTACCCACATAAGAGTGGGATATGGAGGTGCCCATCTGTAACTCTAGCACTGGAGGGTCCCATGGACTTGCCTGGTCAGCCAGTGTACCTGAATTGATGTGCTCCAGGCACAGTGAGGACTCTGTCTTAAAAACACAGTGGGGAGTAACAGAGGAAGATACTCATCCTTGACCTCTGACCTCTACATGCGCACTCATGGGCAACAGTTCACTCATAAGCACATGTGCCTACATGTATGCGCACGCACACACACACACACACACACACACACACACGGGTGGGGGGCATATAAAATACAGCATAAGTTGAGACTGATGAAGTGGGGTCAAGGGAAGATTTCCCCCTTGTCTGGACGATGGAACAGGCTAGATCTGGATAGGTGTATCAGGCACCCTGTTTTATGTGGCAACGTTTGTTGTTCAAATCATCCCTCTCTTCTCTGAGTCTCTGATGTCCTCAATCATTTCCTAGGCGCCAGTCAGGAGTAGGAAACAGGGAAGGAACTTTTTTTTTTTTCCTGTCTTTTTGAGACAGGGGACAGGGTCTTCTTGTAGCCCCAGCTGTCCTGGAACTCACTACGTAGACCAGGCTGGCCTTTAACTCATAGAGATCCACCTGCCTCTGCCTCTCGAGTGCTGGGACTACAGGTGTGCAGCACCATGCCCGGCAGGTAGGGAACTTTTTAAAGGCCTCAGTTGAAAGAAATACACATTTGGCACTGATAATAGCGAGGACATAGGCCTCACTTTCTTTACGGCAGATGCTAACTCACTCCGCACTCGGTTCTTCCATAATCATTCCCATCATGTAGGAGGAAGCTGAGGACAGAAGACCCGAGCATGCACAGAAGAAAGCATAACTCTGACCCAGGTGGTTCACCTCAGAGTCCGTCCACTTGTCTACTACTCAAAATTACAGAAGACAAAGGGTTTGGGCTAGGTGGCTTTCAAATTTCCTTTCGCTGGGGCTTCCTACCATATTGTAAATTGCAGATTCTCTGTTTGGGGCCCTCACCCTTAGCTCACAGCCTGTTGCAGTTCACAAGCTCAATAAATACTTGTCATATGAAAGAATGTTCCATGTCAATTTACAGTTGAAATCTCTAGAACAAATTGAGTCCATAGAAACACAAAATAACAACCCTCTTGGCTTTTAAATAGCCTACATTTTGCCTCAAATAGCCTACATTTTGCCTCAGTGTAACCCAGAAAGGAGCCCAGGCCACCCAGAAAAGGACATTCCAACAGAATTTAGTGTCAATGTTAAGCTCAATTATGTTTCAAACGACAGGAAATGTGCCCCATAAGACTAGATTTCTTGCCTGTTTCTAAACTACAAAGTATCCCCAGCCTAAAAGAAAGTCTGATAGAGAAGAAAAGAAAAAGGAGGAGGAGGAGGAGGAGAAGGAGGAGGAGATTAGTTTAATTCTGGATTGCCTCTTAATGGTCTCACAGACAGAGCTGTAGGGAGGGGGTGAAGGAGCAGGAGAAGGGGGAGGGAGAGGAGGAAAGAGGAAATGATCTGAGACAGCATCACTTCTCAGCAACCGGAAGGAAAACCCACACATACACAAGCCTCTCACGTCCTCTGGGTGCTGTGCCGTTGCTCAGTGGAGAAGAGCTGTCAGCTGCTCTCAGAAGCAAGTGTGGCAGCTGCAGGGAGAGACAAGCATAAGGACACAGAGGAACTAGCTGCGACCTGCCGCTTGCCCACCTGGGAGAGAGCAAGGCAGCCAGGGGCATGAGATGGTCCATGGAGTGGTTCTGCCCTTGGGTGAGTGCCAACCACTTGTTGTGGCCTGGGGTGAGGGCAGGGCTGGAACTCACTCAGATTCTTACTTTCTGACTTGGCGTCAGACATCCGGCCATGTCTCTACTGTTAACACCCCTAACTGAGAAGGGGAGGGTTCAGCATGTCATGAAGACCAGGCCGAATGAGCCCAAAGCGCCACTGTTTACACCCTGCAGTGGTGGAAGAGGGGAGTCAGCATGTCCCGAAGGCCATATGAGCAACTCTAGGTCTTCCCTGAGACCTAGAGGCACTGGTTCTGAGTAATATAAAATTCTGTCTGATTTCCACTCTTTAAACCACCCTCAGGTGATGCTTGCTAGTTTGTAAACAGGGGACTCCTCTCTGCCTACTGTCCTCGCAGAGCTTACCTGTGAGGAACTAAAGCTTTTACTTTTCTTAAATTATTTCAGTAACTCAACATGTAGTTCAGGGTCATTTGTATCTGTGTCATTTTCAGTCTCTCTGGGAGGCAAGAAATGGTGACTGAAAATTGGGAGCTGAGTTCCAGCTCCATAGAGAGCTGGCCATCACACCCTCTCTAAGGGATGGGATCAAACTGCACTTTATGGCCGTTCTGACAGCTCAATACTTACTTTCTCTCTATATTCATTTATTCAACTTTCATTCTTTCTTTCTTTCTCTCTCCCTTTCCTTCCTTCCTTCCCTCCTTCCTTCCTTCCTTCCTTCCTTCCTTCCTTCCTTCCTTCCTTCTTCCTTTCTTTCTTTTCTACAAAGGGGCAATATTGGCCACTAGTCTTTCCTAGTCTAAGGGAGAACGGGAGCCCTACTCCTTTGAACTTCCTTTTGGGGAGCTCCTGTTCTCCCTCAGAACTTGGTTTCCCACTTGGAATTAGACAGGAAGAGCAATTGTTATGGACAGAGTACTGTGGCCTTGTTACTGTTTTATTTCAAGCTTGGTTGCTTTAAGGAAACTCTCATCACTCTGAGAATGGGAGTAAGTGGAAGACAGAAGGGAAAAATATGAAATCAGTTTTGAACAAAAGTTCTGCCATTTCTCATCAATGAATTAATTTCTTTTTTTTACTTTAAAAAATGTATTGAGAATTTCTATATGTGCATATAAGGTGTTTTGATCAAATCCACACCCACTCCCGCCCCTCTAACTCCTCACATATATCTCCCCATCACTTTTTTCTGACAACTTCATGTACACTTTCTTTTTCTTTTTTTATTCTCGCATTCCCCTCACTGAAGAGGTAACCCTAAAATCTTTTAGGGATTAGATAAAAGCTCCCAAATACTTTTAACATTTTTTGACCTTTGGAACACAGCATGTTGCTAAGAGGCCCAAAGACATTTTGACTTTTAACCAAGAAACTGGCTACTTTTCTTTGGAGTCTTTTTACCATAACTGCCTAACCAATTTCTACCTCCTATTCTTATCATGCCATCCTCTGAAGAGGTTACCCAAATTGCAGATAGGGAATAGAACACAGACCCCTCTGCCTTCTTCCATGCTGAAAAGGGACACAGGGTGAAAGGCAATTGGGGTACCCTCTCACTGGGTCTATCTAAAAGACTCCCAAATTACATAACTCTGATCTGTAGGGGGAAAAGAAAGCCCTTGACTGGTGAATAGGAGATGTGAAGGAGAAGTAAAAGCAAGAGTAACTAGCATTACAAGTTCTAGACAGAGAACTAGAAAAAAGAACAGGGCAATTTTCAAATGTTCATATGAGAGAATCCATTGGAATTTCTTGACAAAGGCTTCCAAAAG